TTTCCAGAATGAAACATTAGTGTACGTGTGAGTACCGTTTCACCAGTTGAATTCGTACCAGTTGTTGAGTTAAATCTACTAACTCAATTTCACTCTTGTTAAATTGAGGTTTGCACGAGTTTCAAATTGAAAACTCGTCAAACGGAGTAGGAAAACGAAATAAGTGAGGGTCAGGAAGAAATTATTAGAGCTAGGAATGTTTGCGAGTAACACACTTGATTGAATAAACCCAATATATCGAATTGTCGTGCAAATGAAGCGGTCCACGGTTTCATTGGTTGTCAGATTAGATAGGTTGACCGAGTGAGAGAACGACGGTGAGGGGGGAATTGGTGTTAACTGGAAGGGAGCTGTATAAAAAACGCCTCCTAGTTATTCCACTGCCTTTAATTGCTAGCCCCAGGAATTCGTAAATTTGTAATCCGCTATCTCCCGATTGGTCTCCGGTTTCTCCAATTTAATCTCAACGATAACCCTTCCAATGGATTTAAGCAACAATTGGATTACTTTTACCCTCAGCAGCCAGGTCTGGATTGTTTCCTTCAACATACGGCCTAAATAAAATAAAGGACATTTTATCATTTGGAGAACGAAGATTTAAAAAACAGGATGTGCATGTCAATGTTTATCATCCGTAATAAATCCGACGTCATATGTGGTAGAAAATTTGACTAAATCTATATGAACTCATTTCTGAGGGGTTTTTTTTACGACGGTTTGGAACAGCAGAGATCATATCAACCTCGGGTGCCAGTGTTTTGAAAAAATACCCATGTTTTGTATGTTGAGTTCAAATGCAGGGCCGCTGGATTCGAACCCGGAACCTTTACCTTAAATTGACGAGCGCCGTCCCAACGCCCCTGAAGCTAAATTTATTAAATTGGGCATTCTCAACACGACACACAAGAATGGCACAATTACGCAGAAAACAAACACTTCGAGCCCAGAAGATGATCTCAATAAAGATCGAAACGTTGGCACGGTTTCCGAATAATTAATAAATTAAATTAAATTTCGATTCTTAATGAATTTTACAGGCAATGAATTATTTATTTTAATCAAATCCATTTCGGTTTCACAATTTACTTTAATAATTTGACAATTAATAATTTTACTGACGTAAAATCTTTGAAGCGAACAGAAATAACTAAAATCGTGAGTCTCAGGAGTTACGACCAGTTGGCGAGTTTTCCCCAGGTTTTTATCAAAAATGTTCTTCAAACTTTAACAGAAAGATCATTTGAACCTGTCAAATGAAACCATTTATTTTATTGCTCTTTATCCCCCTTCCCACGACGTCGATAGTGAAACTTAGTTGGAAGAGAAGTTGTAAATTGCTGTGGGCTTGTGGACTGTCGCGAGGGGCGGAAGTATCGGAACCATTACTTCGACCGCAACCCAGGCTTGCCGAGTTAAAAACTTGGGACAGACAGACTCCACCAGTTAATGGTCCAACTTGGGTTATTCATTAAAACAATAGGCGAGTTTCTGTAATGTTTATTTACAGATACGAACGATTATAGTTATGGTCTATGTTGAAAGTCTGAAGGAAAAGAAAGGGGTAAGAACGCTCAAATGAAATACCGTTCAGTTCTTATTTCATAAACTTTGAAACGTCAACAAAATAAATATTTTTACTGGAAATCTTCCAAACAGTGGTTTATAAACAACTTTGTTTATTAATAACAGCAAGAAAAAGTCTACAGTGCCTGGATATGCCAACTATGTAAATTTTTCGTTGGATTATATAACATGATGATTGTTTTAAATGAACGTTTGTTATATCTAGGACGTCATTTTTTCCAGATAAACCTGTTTTAAATCCTCTATGTTATTCTTATTTATTAAAAATTAAATTGCAGCCTTGGAGGTACGAGTAGGTTTTACCACCTGTAAAATAACATTGCACTCGCTAACCTTCTATCTCGGCCTCTGGAATTATTTTCCTCCAATGTTTACAGAGCCGAATCTCTTTTAAATCCGGTTTTGTTTTGAAGAAACCAATTAATTTGAGGTCTCAGTGTTTATATTTTCTGTAAAGTTCCATTATCTTCGAGTTGTTAGTCCGAGAAAACAATGAAGGACGGAACCAAAAGTGAAAATATAGCTCGTACGAGCATGTTAAGACGTGCCGTTTTTTGTAAACCTGTAGACGCCGGTTACCCATCGCCAACAATCTTCTGACCTTTTGCTTAATTATAAAAATAACAATTTTGTTTCTGTACGTTTGTTTAGAGCAATGTTTCTCCTAGTTACTAGGGTGTTTGTCTACTTAACAAGAACGCAGCACTTAATGGTAAATGTGCACAATTAAGTCTCCTCCGTACTTACTGTTCGTACTTGTGTAGTCTACAACTTCATTTTCAGGAGTAGAATTTTTATACCTTCAAACAGTTCCATACATTTTTATTTTCTTAAGTTTTCCTCAATGCTATCTTCCATATACCATGAGACATAAAAATATATGAGTTTCTTCAATGTATAGCTAATAAATAATATACGTTTTTCCTCAAGTACAAATTCTGCCTTATATATTTGATTAACAGCTTTCGGGTGTAATTGAACACTCTTAAATTATTGATTGATTTTTTTTTTTTAATTGGGACACTTTTACCCTTTAACACCATATTTCGTAGAATGGTTCGATAAACTCACTATTTTTCGTGGTCCGCTTGACCAATTAATATCAAGCAATTAATTAAGGTTTTAAGTTGAGATAAAAAGTCAGTGTCACGAGCGGGATTCGAATCCACGACCTTCGGCTTGATACGCCGCTACTGTGCCACTTGAGCTATCGTGACTTTGATCCCCCCGGGCATTAACTTCCCACCTCAACCACACCTTTTTGAATTTTCCCTCCTTTTTGCCATTTTTATCTCAACTGAAAACCTTAATTAATTGATTGATATTAATTGGTCAAGCGGACCACGAAAAATAGTGAATTTAATGAATTAAAATGAAGTATACTTCACTAAAGCTCTCCGTGGCCATTTCATTTGTAGCCGAGAATCAAATAGATTTGAAAAATGACAAAAAGAAGGGAAAATTCAAAAAGGTGTGGTTGAGATGGGAAGTTAGTGTGCGAGTGGATCGAGGTCACGATAGTTCAAGTGGTAGAGCAGCGGCATATCAAGCCGAAGGTCGTGGGTTCGAATCCCGCTCGTGACACTCACTTTCTTATCTCAACTTAAAACCTTAATTAAATGGTTTGATAAACGTTAATGCGGAATTGTTTAATTAAATAGTTAAAAAGGTTAAAAAAGACAATAAATTTTTGTGAAGGTTCAGTGACGATTGCGAAGTACTAATAGCGTGTTTAACAAGATACAGACTTCTAACTAAATATACAGATAAAAATATACAGGATATCAACCGTCATTATGTCCCCGTTGGTTTACTCAAAAACTACATAACTTAAAAATAAAAACTCAATAGTTTTTTAAGCATAAAATCGTAATTTTCCCAATGTTTCGGCCCTTTGTAGGCCCTGGATTAAGATAAAAAATGTTCTGAAATCATGAAAGCATCGGCTAAGTGGCTAAGTATAACGCTTTATGTATAAAGGAACGGTCGAATCAATGGCAGTTGTAGTTTAAGAATATGTCAATATTTTAGTTTCAGAAAATAAAGAAAATTATTATGATTCCTTGTAACAATGGCGAGCCTTTATCAATTAAAATCGGAAAAATACTCACATCAAAAATGGAAGGCAAAAGCCACAGATTCTGTAATTTTTAGTTTATAATATCTATAACAAACGTTCAAGTGAATGCAATCTTCCTTATAATTTTTATTTTAAAGTTTATTTGGCGATGCAAGTCAAAAAATATTAGTCTTCATCCCTTCTTTTTCGTTCTTGCCCACAAACCCCTAGGAGCCGAGATTATTTTAAAAAAGAACGTAATTAATTTTTTCAATATGCTTTCATGCCTTTATTGTGCATGCATTTCAAATTCTTTTTAACCTAGGATAGAAAAATAATAAGCAGGATCATATTAAGATTACATATTTAAAAAGTTGCACCATTAAATATATAAAAACCAAAAGACGTTTTAGTATAGTAGGTCAAACAAGCATTTTTTTTTAACAATCTGGATTCATTTTACCCACCTTTTAACACACTTGAATATTAATTGCATCGCAACAAAAGCATATAAATTTATGGACTGAATTCGCCGGGGGCATTTTTTTCTCTCCGGTGTCCGGTGTTCCACTTAAAAATTCTACCTCTTCTGAATTTTACCCAAATCCAACGTTATTACAACCGTTCGAAAGCTGAATTTCTCTTCTTTCAGTCTGTATCGACGAGTGTTTGATTGATAATCGTAATTTATTAGAAATGAGAAAAATAAGAAAGAAATAATCAGAAACTCCCAAAATATAAAAACTCTCGCTTATAATAGCATAAAAATGGTTGTTAATATAAGTTCAATGAAAGAAGTGCAGCTTCCCAAAGGCGTAGTAAGATTCAGTTATTAGAGCCCAGAGAAGTTCTGTATTTTAAGTGGAACACAGGATGTCGGGAAAAATACACCTGCTGATTCATCAAGCAATTTATTTTTTATTTATTTATTGCTATGTAAATTCGTATGTAGGATGCTTAAAATAAATCCGAATTTTGTGTTCCGAAAAAATATTTTTCTGGCCTACTTTTCTGAAAGTCTTAGCTTGCCCGCCCTAATTTTTTTAAGATAGACTAAGAACTAAATCTGGCTCGGATAAAATATTCTAAACGTTTTACAATACGAAAACTGCATTCCGGTTGATGTGGTAAGCATGGTAAAGCCAGTTTACTTTAGCAGATTCACACAGCGTGTTAAACCGAGACTTGATTAACGCCCTGTATAACTGAAACCCAGTTAATCCCTGTTAATGAAATTTACACCAGCCCGTTTCCGTTTCCCCGTACTTGCAACCGTCCTTAATGAACCGGCTTTTCCTTAAATTGTTATCGAACATTTGTCGATAAACTGTTGAAACATCGCTTTACGATTTTTCAGGGAGGACTGAGATGATAAGGCTGCTCGGCTCTGTGAGAGAGACCCCGCTGGCGAGTTCAACTTGCAGAGAAGCGAAGGGGATGTGGGCCCCGTGCACGTGTAGGCTCGAAACCTGCATTGGATGGTACCCTTGCGGTCTCAAGTACTGCCGTTCCAAAGACGGCTCTTCTTACAGGTGTGGTATCAGGACCTGCCGAAAGTGCCATCTCTATTCTTATTATGTGCGTCAAAAACAACTCTGCCTTTGGGACGAATGACAGGTAAAGAAAGTACTTTTTTAGATACCGAACTGACCACTTTAAATGGTAGTTTTTCTAAGATTCTAACATAACTAGTTGAAAGATGGAACTTCACTTGGAAAACTTTCAATGACTCTTGTATGCAGACTTTCTATTTATGAATTTCAGAATGAATATACCTTGGATAATGGAAGGGTATGTTGGTAGTAAGCTTTTTACGCTACTAAGGTTAATTTTTACTCGAGGTAGCTTTATTAAAGTATAAGTTCTTTTAGGTAAATGGGGTGAAATTTATATGTTATTTTATAGTTTACTTTATTTAATCAACTGTATATTCTTTAAATTATTTTTTTATGTTTCACACTAACATATAAAATTCTAAATATAGCTAAAAATAATGATTTAATAAAAAGTTACCAATTACATAAATGTTCTTTATTGCAATAATTATATTGAAATTTATGATGTTTTCTAGTTATATATTATATCGAATTAAACATAAAAAAGTTTGTTTTCTTTAGTTTTGCTTTTCTCTAAAGAACACAATTTCTAAGAATACTTTCTTCTTCTTTCCCAATTTTATGTTAGAAATCTTGGCACTATTTTCTATTTCAATATTTTGATATTATTTTTTGTGAGGGTGTGTATTTTTTGCAAATCGACGAAGTACTACACCTATCATTTCCGTCGACGCCCTGCCCTCATCATCACCTTATACCAAGAAGAAAAAATTATTAATTACACATTACTCTTACTAGGTTAATTTTTCAGAGGTAGGCTAAACCAGGAATGTTTTAAAGTCATGCAAAAGTGTTAGCGGTAGCGCCGTTGATTTGCCGCATGGTTTCTGGATAATTTGTATTTTTAAAAATACTAATTAACGAAATCAATTGGGTACATGTATTTGTTTAATGAAAACTTCTCAGTAGAAATAAACAAACAAAAAATTTTTTTAAAAAGAAAATAGTAACGGCTTGTGAAGCATAGAAATCAGATGGAAGAAGCAACAAATCACCGTATGAAAAGTCGTCGGCTTGTGAAACGGAGAAAACCAGCTAGAAGAAGAAGCATCAAATCATCAAAAGATCAAATACGTCACTGACTAATGAACGACTAATATACAATAGAATTGTAAAACCGATGTACAATTATGGACTGGAAAATTTTGGGGGTTCTGCCAAGCGTACCAACATACAACGAATCCTAACATCCTAATCTTAAATTCCTGTAAAAATCCTAAATGGTTATGATGGTATCTACTGAGACCTTAATGACCTTAATGCACCCTTCGTACGCGACATAATCTTATCGAGATTTTGGAAGTTCCACAAATCACTCCCAGACTCATCCAACAGCTCTCATCCTGCCGAATCCTCTCAAACCCTCCCTAAGAAAGAGGTGCTAGCCCAGAGATCTAAATTTAAATTTTTGTTTCTTTCACTCTTGTTCATTACTTGTGATGCATAATTGTCGAGTTGAAATATTCAATACAGTTCAAAAATAAAAAAATAAATAACCACTGGTATTTTGGAATCGGAATTGGTTAATTTTTGTCTATATCTTGTTTTATAAATGATTCTTGAATTATATTTGTATATATCGTTTAAAAGGCTCTAGGTTTATGCGATTCCCCTTGATATTTCTTTTGGCCTTCGAAATATATTTTCGGATTTTTCTAAATACATAATTTTAAAACGAATGTTATCACTGGGTTAACAAATGCACATAAGAGAAGAAAAATTGAATGAATTTATGCGAGCTGAATTATAATAGAGAGGATTTAGAAAAATGGAGATTCCAGTCAGTTTTCTATGGAAAAGGAAAATTTAATATAATACTTCCAGAATAAAAACCTCCAAGAAGATAACCACGAAATCCTAGAACACTTCCTGCGAATACTTCCAAGGATAAAATTTTTGAAAATCTCGATTCCGGGAAACAGCGCCTTCAAAATATAACTAACTATATAACATAATAATAATTAGATGGACGATTTTTAATTTCTAACATTCCTACTTGGTGTTGCTGTGAAAATGTTTGTTTTTTTCAATTATTATTGTATTTTCTCGGAATATCGAACTGATTAAACATCCGCATTTATTTTCTCTGGTTTGCATTTAATTTCAGTACATTTAAAAGCCGTGGGCTTGGATTATCTAATTGAATATATTATATAATTTTTCCATGTTTTCAGTTGCCAGATCAAACTTCGCCGCTTGCTGAACAAAGCCCAATCTAAGGGGAAAAGCAGGGCGTGGCGATGAAATAAGTTAAGTCTGATCGAGATGAACATAAAAAAGAATGGATCTCAGCTTTCCACCGCCAAACATCTTTTAAATAATATTATTTTATTTATTTAATTATTTTTATAAATAAGAATAGTTGTTTAAATGGGAACATTATTTTTATAGTTTTTAGCCTATATGTTAATGTTACTTTGCAATTAACTTAAGTAATAAACACAGTTGAATTTTGAGAAATATCTGTTGTAGTTTATTTGCGTATTAAATTCGTTATATACTTTGTATTGTTGTAAATTTATAATTTTATTTCAAATACTGGAACAATAACTATAATAAGACTCAGGTGGAAATACATTTCTTTTCTGTATATACTTTTTGGAAGTACCAATAAACCTCTAAGTTTACATATACGCTTTCATTTATTTTTATAAGAATATGTTTTTACTACTGTGAATTCTTTTACTGTATAAATCGAACAGAAACAATTAAAATAAGGAATCAAATTTTGTGTTTTTTTAATTACGTCAAAATTATGTACCAAAATGATTCGTATTAGGAGGTAAGAAACAACGAAGGCCAGTGTTTTCTGGTTGACTGTATTTTTATATTTAATAATACCTTGATTTGTTTGGATGTCCATATATAAAATAAGGAAGGTTTTCCACTTTAACATAAATAACACATTTTATCAACATCCCAACTATAAAATTTACTTTAAATATGTACCAGTTAATGTTATATAGTATGGTGTACACTATGAAATGAATGTGAATCAAGAAACGTTGCCAGTTTGAAGTCTTAAAACATTCATGTTTTGATATTTTCCTACTTGAGATCTATCAAGGACTCTACTCCTATCCTGAGATCTTATTGTATTTTCCCTCTGATTTCAAGACAAAGTTCTTTCATTCAAAATCGATCATAGTGGTATAGGACGATACTAATGCATATTTAAAGTATAAAAAATAAATTTTATATTTGCAACGTTGGTAAAACGTGCTATTTATGTCAAAGTGAAAAACCTTCCCTATTTTGTATTTTTATATACAATTACTATTAAAAATACAATGTAAAAAAATATATGCCTTCCTTAATTATATCTCTGAGTTTCTCTTTTAAAACCTGAACCCAAGTGCATTCTTGTCAAGTAAAACCTATCCTTCAGAAGAGGATTCCACCTACCACATTGGTTGGGTGTCGCTTGAATCGAACTGGTTTACAATACTTTCTTTATATCATTCGCATTTAAAAATTCAATGGATATGCCGGGATTCAAGGACCATTCCAGTGCCCTAACTCCCCGGCCACCACAGTTTTCAGTGTATTCCTTGTAGACCTGTTTTAAAAAATGAAATTCATTTCAGTGTCTTAATTTTTCTTTAGTTTATTAGTATTTATGTTAATAAGCAAAATAATTTTGTGCTTTAAAACAGTTGAAAAATTATTACTAAATAACTCGAAATACGTTAAATGTCTAAATGCGGGGGGAACATTTTCTTCACCGAGAGAAATTATAAAAAGTTGGATTTTTCTTATTCATAAAGTTTCCCCGATAAAATTAAGATTATTATAAAATAGTAAAGAGTATGCTGCGACCAAATTATATTTATGAATGTCTCAGTAATTCAAACAAATATGATATATTTGTATTTTCTCTGCTCGAACACATCCACCACTGAAGATGGCGATCAGACCAACCCAGCAAGGATAGGAGCTAACCTCCCGATTTAAAATAATATAATAGTTACGGTTGTTCTTTAACATGGTCTTGTTTTGACTGTTCATTTCATCCAAACTATCGCAAAAATTAGTCATTTTAAATCAATTTTTTAAATAAAGTGAAGTAGAAGTGTTACAATTTAAAATAGTAAATTCACTAATTTCGTAGTCCGTTTGATCAATTAATATATTACAATTAATTAAGGTTTTTAGTTGAGATAAAAAAGTCAATGGCACGAGCGGGATTCGAACCCACGATCTTCGGCTAGATACGCCGCTGCTCTACCACTTGAGCTATCGTGACCTCGATCCACTCGGACACCAACTTCCCATCTCAACCCCACCAGGTCGAATCCCGCTCGTGCCATTGACTTTTTTATCTCAACTAAAAACCTTAATTAATTAAAATAGTAAGTCAGCTGATTGTTACACTTTTTTGTATAGTCCTTTTGTTACTTCTTTTACTTATCACCTAAAAAATTTCATTTTAGAAATTAGCAGCGGTTTTATTGTTATAAATTGAACAGTAAATCAATAGAAAAAAAATCTTTGTCGAATAACTTTAATAAAGAAGTCATGACATGGCGAGAGACAGTAGAGACAGATTCGAAGTTTTCACCCTCCTTTTGCCGAAATTTGTTAACCAAATGTAAGCATTAGTGACCGCGTACTAGAATTTACGAGCACTTTAGCGTAAAAGATATAAATGTATGGTGTTTAGTGACCGTTAGCCACGTGATGATTTCAATTAAGTTGGCATGATAAAGAAATTTTTTTTCTAAAACCTACGTCACACCAGACCGCACCTCACGATCTCCAAAAGATATAAAGCTGGTTATATCTAAAGAAATAGGGCAAAACATTAAAACCATACTGGCTAAAGATCCCAGTGTATCTTATCACTGGAGAAATAAACAAATATAAAAAAATACGGCAAAATATGGTTAGTTAAACTGACGTACCTATTCATACTGCAATCAGGCTACAATATGTTTCCAGTATCTGAAAATTAGTAGAGGTCATCATGGTACCAAAGCCAAACTACCAAACGATTCTATCTTCATAAAGACTCATATCATTACTACCGAGAATCTCTACTCTTTAAAAAATTATGCTAAAAATAATTTTAAACAATTAATTTTGACCATTAATTTGGATTGTGATCAAAAGATAAGGTTTGCTAATGAACCTAATACAACTATTGTAGATTAAAATGATTCGTTACGGCCTTGCGCACCAACATTGATTAGCCTATTGTTCAATCTATTATTATTATTGATTACTTACCACATTCGTTCCAGAACGACCTGTAACCCCCGCTTAAGACGCTTGTTGTGTAGGTTGTAGGGGTATTTTTATTGTCGAGTCCGGTATCTCAGGCCTTTAATATCGTATTTTCAATGTTTCTTAGGAGTCCGTATTTCGGTTTGACCTTTTGAAGATTTTTTACAATTATAAAAGAAAAAATTACGTATTTTCGTTAAGCTTAAGTCTGTTTACCTGATCCAAAGGTTCGTTAAGGACTCCCGTTTGTGTCCTTAAGCCCTTGGCTTTTTTCCCAGCTGTATGAATCTCGGCATGCATATGCTTTCACACCAACAGAGGATATGTTCCACTTTTTTTGGTGATCACTGCCCAGGCTTGTGCCTGCTGATTCGATTCTATATGCCAGTCAGCAGCCTTACTAAAATTCTAGCCCTAAAAAGTCCTAGGTGTTTCGTTAGTTTCTGCGTGGACAAAATTCAGGTAAAGAAAAGGATGTTTCTTAAATGAACACTAAAAAACAATCGTAACTTTTGTACAGATTGAGATAAAACCATGGGTTTTACGGCATTCTACTCCAATTTAGATACTGTCACCAAATTTATTTTCAACACGACCAGCTGACACTGTATATATCATTTTAGAATGATTAGTTGGTTTAAGTAGAGCAGTTTTCATTTTTAAAAATATTTACTATAAGACGTTCTAAATGGCAAGAATGCGTTAAATATTTATAGTATTAAGTACACATAATCGACTATAATTAATACACAATTAATTATACGACACGACACGCAAGAATGGCACAATTACACAGAAGACAAACACTTTGAGCCCTGAAGATGATCTCAATAAAGTTCGAAACGTTGGCACGATAAAGAAAATGTTTTTCTGAAATTTACATCACACCAGACCGCATCTCACGATTTCTAAATAAATATCGATTAACGGTCACTAATCACCACACATATAATTAATGATATACTGCTTATTAAATTACCTTTTTTAGAACTGTAAAAGAAATCTTAAAAAGATTTTAAACAATACTCAACCAAGTTTATTTTGTTTTATAATTAAGAGAATGGTAGAGAAAACTTGCTATGATTTTTAATTTGTTTTTTTCGTAGCTTATTGGAATGAAAAGCATGGGGTACGTGAGAAGCGTTCTATTCTCGTCGGGTTTGTCAGACCAAGATCAAAGGTTGTATTATGAAGATATTCAAACATGAAGGCCTAAAACTTATTTCCCTTCATTTTCCCTTGAGAACAACTGATTGAATCTTAATGAAACGCGCTGTCTAGGGTATGACAAAGTATTTTGTATTTTACCCCAGGCATGCGAGGAAAAACACAAATTATTTTATACTTTCCCCCCAGGCGTGCGAGGAAAAGAAATAAAAATAACTGTTTCAATTTAAAACCCGAAAACAAAAGGATTGCCGAAGTATACGAATTTTAAAAGTGACAATAAAATGGTCAATCTCATTGTTTTATGGTCGTGTTTGATCGATCTGATCTATCTGTCTTTTAGAAGAATTTGGACATTTCAGCATCTTCAGTGGATAGCTTGTGCGTGTAATTAAAGCGGGGAACACACCCAATGGTACCCGACGCAAATCCAAAGTCAATTTTCCATAAGTTTGTATTACCCCCGTGCACATCAGCCCGATGCCACGCAACTCTACCCTACTCTGGGCTATGCGATCCCACTGTCCAGATTTTCGTCGGGTAACATCGAGTACAGTCGAAGACAAAAAAACCGGACACTCATATTATTATTATTTTTATATTATTATTTATTATTATTACATGGTTTTGCTCATAAAATAACTAACAATTTATTTCATGGTTTTGCTCATAAAATTGAACTAACAATTTATTACATGAATTTGCTCATTAAGTTTAACTAAAATTTACTACACTATTTTGTTCATAACATTTTACTAACAGTTTATTTCATTGATTTGCTCATAAAATTTAACTAAGAATTTATTTCATGGTTTTGTACATAAAATTTAACAAGCAATTTCTTACATGGTTTTGCTCATAAAATGTAACTAACAATTTATTACATGGTTTTGTTCATAGAATTTAACTAACAAGTTGTAACATGGTTTTGCTCATAAAATGTAACTAACAATTTATTACATGGTTTTGCTCCTAAAATTTAACTAACAATTTATTTCATGGTTTTGCTCGTAAAATTTAACTAACAATTTATTACATGAATTTGCTCATAAATTTGACTAAAATTTATTACACTATTTTGTTCATAAAATTTCACTAACAATTTATTGCATGGTTTTGTTCTTAAAGTTTAACTAACAGTTTATTGCATGGCTTGGTTCAAAAAATTTAACTAACGATTTATTACATGTTTTGTTCATACAATTTAACTAACAATTTATTACACGACTTTGTTCC